CCATCCTTCTCATTTACATTTTCCTCCCCAGGGCTCCTGTCATGTTACTGATCAGGACCACCTTTGCCTTTGCAGTGTTCCCTGTGCCCCCTCTGCCTTTCCTCTTAGCCCTCTGCCCTTGACCTTGCTCCCCCCAGCCCAGCCCCTCCAGCAGCTCCTGGAGGTGTTGCCCAAAGTCCACACCTGTCTGGTAAGGCATAAGGGCCTAGTGAGGTGTGTAGGAAGGGAATAGCTGAAGCACAACCTACTCTCTAGGGGATGCAATGAAAGAGTAGTGTCCCAAGGGAAGGTCTCCCCCATCCAATCTCACTTCCTGTGTAACCACCAGTGGGTAATTTTGGCAGTCCCCAAATCTAGCCAGAGTGGCACAGAATAGATTTAATAGATGTTTTATTTTAGCAAAGAAAGGCCTGTAGAGTTTCCTACATCCTTCAGATATTTCATCTCACCCCTTAACTCTGAGCAGCCAGGCTTCCTAAGTTAGTTACCCACTTAATACACATCAGCCTGCCCTAGGACTTAGCTTTTGCAAGACCCCCCGGCCAAAAGTCAACGCTAAAGCAATGGTTATGTGCAGAAAGGGAGAGGGTCAGCTTTAATCCTGAGTTCCCACATATTCTGAATCTTAAACTCCTGTACCATTCACTTTGATAATTAAGAAACTCCTAACTCCAGCCAGTTGAGGATAGGATGAAACCAGTCCTGTTGATACCAAAAATGCCAGTTACAGATGTCAGCAACTGGAGAAAAGCTAGCCCGTGGTGGTCTGGTCCCTGCCTCTCCGCACCTCTCTCACAGCCACACCCCCCCCCAACCTTTTCTCTCAATTGTTAAATTCTATGTATAAAAGTATTTTCTTAGCAGCATGTGTATGAGGAAAAGGTTTTTTTGTTTTGTTTTGTTTTGTTTTTTTTCACTCTGCTTTCTGGGAATGTGACTTGTGTATAAAAGATAAAAAAGAAAAGAAAAAAAGAAAAGAAAAAGAAGGAACTTTAAAAGAAAAATCTTGGTAAACATCTGCCTTGGGATAATCAGAGGTGTTCTGTCATGCATTTTAGTCTGGTTAGGTTGGATTAAGTTTCAACTATGAACGTTACTACTGCCAGAAGCCCCTCCTCCTTGTGCCTTCTTACACCCAAACACCCTGGCCTGGAACACGCTATGTAGTCACAACAGTAGACACTGACGGAGCAACTGCACTTTCAGTGAACTCATCTCCGGGGCACACCAGTCTGCCATCTTTCTCGGGCTATACTTAACAGCATCACGCATGCTTCAGACAGCGGTGTGCCCTAGAGGACCTGGCTGGTGTCTGGAAAGTGCTAGAGGTGGCCATCAAGTCAGCAGGATCTTGTGCAATGACAGAGAGGGACACCTATGAGTGCTCCTGTCTGTTAAGCGAGCTTGAATGGAGGTCTCATAAGATGGGTCCATCATGGCTTCAGATTTCTAGTATACACATTCCTGAAGAAGCACCCAAACCCAGGTGCCTTCTCATTCCAGGTCATTGCCGGGAGTCAGGAGGTGTGAGCGATCCTGCCTTGCTCTAAACCTTGTGAGAGGGTCACAACGTATTCAGCCCTCAACCAAGAACAAAAATCAGTTTCCTGGAAGAACCTGAAAAGAATCCGAAGCCTGAGTAGACAGACAGGACAGATATACAGCAGGATCACTGAACGAACGGGTTCTTCCCCCAAACCTCTAGCCCTGGTCTGAGCTTTATAGACACACGAAGAACAGAGAAAGCCAGTCATTCTAAGCATAAGAGCCCTAGCTTCTGCTTTCTTTCTATTCCTTAGTGTCAGACACAATCACCAAGTTCTCATCACTCTGCTGTTTCAACGCATTTGCTCATCTAGGCATTTATTCCTATAAAAAGTAATCACAGGAAGCTGGGTGTGACTGGAGGTAGAGGCAGACTGATCTCTATGAGCTCAAGGCCAACCTGATGTACAAAGTGAGTCCAAGACAGCCAGGTCTATACAGTGAGACCCTGTCTCTAATAATAATAATAATTGGATATGAATAGAAGCAGAGGTCTGTGTATAGCACCCCACCAACAAATCAAGTTCATCCTCAAAAGGAGCAGCAGATGCCCTCCCCCAAGAGAGCTGCAGGGAGATGAATGCACACACACACACAGGCTTACACTTGTACAAGAATGAACGTGCCCTGAGATTACATCCTTCATGCCCTTAAGAAGCAACACCTTCTAGGAACTGAGGTTGTAGGTTGGCGGAAAGGTGCTTGCCTGTAAACCCCTCACACATGCCAATTTTCCTCATGTGAATGGAGACAGAGAAAGCTCACAGATACAGCAAGTCTCAGGAAAATCCAACCAGTGTCAGTTAGTGTTAAGCACGAATATCATGGGGGAAAGGCTATAAATGATTGTGGTCTATAGATGAGAGGTCAAGGAAACATTCTATCACCCTGAAACTGGGTAGCCTGGGCTGGGGTTCTGTTACAGGAAAGCCTGGTATTAGACAATTGGGGGCCTATCTCAGAAGCCTGTAGCTATAAGGTTACCATTTCTAGGGGACTGAACTAAGAAGAAAGGCCACAGAACTACGGTAGTAGTCACTACCGAATAAAGGCAGGAGATTATAAGACAGGACACCGATGGTAAAAGGCTAGACCAAGGTCTGTTAAACTTGAAGAAGAGAAGAACAACACTGAGAAAATGCTCCTCTTTGGAGAGCCTACTACTAGAAATCAAACCCAGGCCTCACGAACATTAAGCAAGAGCTCTGTCACCAAGTGCCAGCAGCCCCCCCCCCCCCCCCGGTCCACCCATTACCACTTCTTCTTCTTCCTCCTCCTCCTCCTCCTCCTCCTCCTCCTCCTCCTCCTCCTCCTCTTCTTCTTCTTCTTCTTCTTCTTCTTCTTCTTCTTCTTCTTCATATAGAATCTCATTTACACTAAGCTAGACTTGAACTCTCTATATAGCTCAGAATGACCTTGAACTCTGGGTCTTCTGGCCTCCATGTCTTGGTTGCTGGGATGATTTTTTGGTGGGGGAGGGAGGTTTGAGACATATATAACCCTGATTGTCCTGGACTCACCCTGTAGAGAAGGCTGGCCTAGAGATCTGCCTGCCTATGCCTCCCAGGTGCTGGGATGAAAGGTATGGGCCACCTAGCTTAATTCATTCTTTTGAGACAGGGTCTGAAGTTGCTCTGTAGCCCAAAAAGCTCTTAAACTCACGATCTTTCTGCCTCAGCCTCCTGAGCAGCTGAGGTCACAGGCCTGTGCCACTAGGCCCAAGTGAAGACACTACACTTCCCAAAAACAACACGGAGTGACAAGATTAGGTGACTCAATTATGTAACCACCCTGTCACCCTCCATGATATAGAAAGACCCAGCTAATCCTCTAGCCAAAACACAAACAGAAATGGAGTAGATAACATTACTCCCTGCTAGTATGAAATGGATTTCTTGCAGTTCCCCAGTGAGAGAGAGGTGTCTGGCTAGAAGTTAGTGGAGAAGAAGGCTGAATTAGGAAGAAAGGCCAGAAGTAAGACAGAAAGAAGCCGGATCTGCCCAAGTAGAGTGGGGAAGCAATTCAGCTGTACCCAACTGTACACACAGTCTTAGTCTTCCCAGCCCAACGGCTGATGTACAGAAATGAATGATCAGCGGGCCTCACTGTCGCCCCACATCTGTAACTCTATGGTCCTTTTTGAATAATGTCAAAACCCTGCATAACATCTTCTCCACTGAACTTGAAGAATACTGGATATATCCCACCAAATGATTTAAGCCTCAGCAATGGTACGATCTATCTGCAAGTTCTGGGGTGTTCGCCAATCTGGCCATGGTCCCGGTCCTGTATACTGACTCTAACTTCATAACCCAGGTCTCCAAAACAACAGATGAATAGAATCTATTACTCTCTCACCACAAAATCCACACAGATCTCACTGGAGCACATAGGACAACGAGCAATGCTCCTAATCTCAGAAACACAGAGCAGCCAGTAGTTGGAACTGGGAGGAAAAGGAAGCAGGACTTTGAAAGCATTATCAAGGAAGGTCCTCTGTGATGACTACTGCCCATTGCAATCACTTTTCTAACAAGTTACATGTGCCTAACTGGACCGCACGACTCCCTGACTTTTACCAACTGCCCTCACTCAACATATACATGTATATATTGTATATATCCCACAACATAGACATCATTGGTGTGCCATGAAGGTGGTCAAGGAACCACGGAGATACAAAGACAAGGAAAATTCATATGAGACTGACTTTCCTACAAGACGAGGGCCATCCCGTGCAACAGTCTGTCCCGAAGTTTTCCACCTGCATCAGGGTTACCTGAGTGTTTAAAATGTAGCCTGAGATAGGTCTAGTGGTACAAACCAGTAATTTCAACTTCTAGAGTGGCTGAAGAAGGAGGTTCGCACATTCAAGATAGCCTGGACTGCAGAGTTAGCTCAAGGCCAGCCTTGAACTTAGCAAGACCTCATCTCAAAATGAGAAGCAAAAAGGGCCATAGCTCAGGGATAGAATGTTTGCCTACCACACAAAAGTCCTGGGTTCAATTCCTAGTACCACAAATGATAATTAATAAAATGTGCATTTCTGAACCACACTACTCACTGAGTAAATCAGAACCTGTTCGATCTGAAATGATCTATGCTCTTCACTGACAGCTGCTGTCCTCGGAAGCTCAGCCCCATACGTATCTGAGACCTGTCCCAGCTCTCTCAGAACGACTCTGCTACACCACGCACTCCTACCACGCGGCTAGCATCACTTCAGATTTTTTTCCCCTTTAGTGCTGGGAATTGAACCAAGACCTCACACGTGCTAGACAAGTGCTCTACCACTAAGCTATACCCAATTCTATATTTTTCCCTCTTCAGAGGCAGCATCCTCATTACCCTAACACACTTTCAAGTTTCCAATCTATTAGAATCTCATGGTCTCATGTGCTTATAGTGACTTCTCTCTAGCAGAAGAAAACAGTTCTTAAACACTATCCACTTACCGTGTTGACTGAAGACCTCCTCTTTCTCTTCTCCTGCGGAAACCTTTCTGAAGCTGCCATCCACCTCCAGAGATGTTGGAATCAGAACTCCCCCAGCCCAGAGCAGCTCCGCCCAGCATGGGCAACAAAGCCGCTTACTTCCCAGGAGCGGGCCTTATCTCTGAGAGCCATCTAGTCTCTCCTTTGACTTTACCCAAAGCCAGATATTTCTCCAGATCTTCCAGATGATGGCCTAGAATCTCTGCCTACCAGGAATCAGACATCCACTGCTGCCAGAAGAGTCTTGCAGAGGGCAGCTTAAGGTTAAATATTTTCAGGGGCTGTTGTCTGTCATCACGGATAAGGAGATTGTCCTTCACAGCATCGTGTTTCCTCTACCATCGTCATTGCTGGACCTTGGTTTCCCTTCCAAGAGTAGATTTCAGAGACAGAAATTAATCCAGACCTATTTGGGGTGCCATTGAGAAATCCCTAAACAAAATCTTACGGTTTTTGAAGTCCCAAATGCCTTTGTCTTCCTTCCACCACGCCTCTCCAGTTCTAGAGTACCTCTCTTCCTTCTAGGATCATCTTAACAAAGAACAAGGGGAACCAGTCATCTCAACCACAAGAAAACAGGAAAGCCTGAGGGTCTCTTCTTCACTCTCTTTGATACTGCCAAGCCTCTCTGCAGGCCTTTTCCCCCTTCAATTTCTTTCTGTCCTACCTGCCCAGAGAAGCACACAGTGCCTGGCTTCAGCTGTCGCTATAAATGAGTCCTAATCCCCCTGCGCTCTAGATCCCTTTTTATACAGTGTGGTACCATCTAAATCCCCTTGCTGGAGTCAGCGAAGGCAGAAGGGAGTTGAGTGTCCAGTTCAGAGAACAGCAGGGGTGAGAGGTTCTAGTGAATGCTGGCTTCAGTCCATCTGCCAAGGGTGGCCTCACGTGCCACCTCCCCACCTGGTGCTCCACCCAGCGCCCGGCATGTCTGTGCACATGACCCCTCTTCCTCACTGCCCGCCAAGTGGTATCATGAGCAAATTTGGCGGCTTTTGGGCTTGCCGCAGTGCCAGAATCTGAGTCACCGGCCACATACCGGTGCAACACTGCCAAATGTGGCGGCATCTACTTGGTTGGGTGCCAAGCGGTAGGACCCAGATGGTGATGATGAAAGAGGGAAGAGGCAAAAAGAGGGGGAGGAGAAGGAGGCACCAGGGAGAAAAACCAACCACACTTGTGAGAGTGGACAGTACACCTGGGATCCACAAAATGGTACCTTTCCCAATTCACAACCGAGCTCCACACGCGACCCCTTCCCTCCCCGAGACCCCTGCACTAATGCTACATACAGAGCAAGCTGGAGGAAGTGGCCATCTTCAGCGGGAAATGACTGGAGGCCAGCAGGACTGTCAGGGCTCACCATTCTTCATCCTTGGGGTCTCAGCAATGGCACACTTCTTCCATTGCGTCCTCGTGCGACACTCTATCCATCAGTCAGCTCTCCATGCCTAAGAGGGAATGGGAAGGAGGACCTGGCAGAAAAAAAAAAAGCCTATTCTCCCAAAGGAAACATCCTTCATCCCACCACCTAACCTGTGGCTCAGCAGCCTTCTCAACCACACTAAGAGGGACGCTGTCACCCGCCCCACTCCACACAGCACCACAGCCATGCCAGGCCCCGTGGGCAGCACCAGCGCCCCTCACACCTCCATGTCCCTGCCGTCTTCTTCAGTGTTCTCACAAAAGGCCCCGTTGCCAGCCCAGGCAAGTTCTCCCCGGGTAGTAGTGGCACAGTCCCTCCTCCTATCTCTTCACTCTTTCTTGGCACTTCCCCATCTACCCTCTTCATTCTCAGACCGAAACAGAGAAAACTCCTTCATAGTCCACACACTTCTCAGAGCTCATCCTACAGGGACAGCGGCATCGGCAGCACATACCTTCCCGTCTACCTCCTCGTCTCCCTGGTTCCCATTACCCCAGGCCTGGGCACAAGACCAACACTTGTGATGCCAACAGCTCTTGTGTGCCGCATCTTCCTCCCAGAGCACAAGGACTCCTGTCGCTGCCCCCTGCGTCTGTCCCCTCCCATCTCCATGGGCACAAGGGTGGCAGCTGCAGTGCCAATGCCTGCGATCAGACAGCATGAAGCAACTCGTGCACCCTCTTCTCCCTTCCAAGGCCCCACACCTCTCCCCTCTTCCTTCCACTCCATCCTTCCATCCTTCTAGTTGGATGCTACAGTGGCAACCGCAATGCCAACCCCCACCCATGCCCAGGAGGCTCACATACAACACACGCGTATGCGTACATGTACATGCGCGCGCACAAACACATACACACACGGCCCCATGAGTGCCAGGCAGCGGTGGCAGACACACAGCAATGCAGTGACTGGTACCCGAGGAGGCAGCCAGATTCGGCACCTGATCCTGCACCCATTTGGGATTGGGTGGTAGGCAGGCAGGCGAAGGGGTGATGGAGGCAGGCGATGGCCCAAGGTTGGCAGCCGATGGAGCTAGGAGAATGGAGGGAACAGATGCTCTTTGCCCAGCCTCCCTCCCTCTCTCTCCCTGAGATCAGTGCCAAGCTGGGGGGATGGGGAGAGGGGAAGATGGGGGAAGGGTGGCATTTGGAGAGCTGGCAGGCGGGGGAAGCTGGGTCCGCCCAAGCTGGGCAGTGCCGGCACTGGCTGCCGCCTCTCCACTCTGCCATCTGTCTCGCTTCTCTCCCCACCCCCTTTCTCTTTTTCTCTTTCTCTTTCTTTCTCTTTCTCCTTTAACCATAGTAAAATGAAAAGAGGAAGGCTGGGTCCTCATACCACCCACCCCAACCTCTGTACCACCCCCTTGTTCCTCCCCACAACTCACCATACCAAACCACCACCAAGCCATCTGTGCTCTCTCTCCTCCTGGCTCGGTCACCTTCTTTCACTCGCCTTCACCCTCATGCCAAAACAGGTGCACTTTAAATATATATATAATATACGTTATATGTAATATATGTAGAGAGAGAGACACACACACACATATATACATTAAAAGGCAACTTAAAATGAAAACTATTTTCTTTGGAATGCCCTGTCCTTCAGAGTCTGGGTCCTCGGTGCCAATATTTATGTGGCAGGCAGAGGGAGGGGACCCTGTCCTCAGCTGGTGCCCATGAATTCCATGCCAGGGAGGAGGGGTGGCTGGGGTGGGGTGGGGGTGGGGTGGGGTACCGGGAGAGCTCTCTTCTTTCTGCGCCCGTGGTTGTTTCTTTCCTACTCTTCCACTTCCGGAGTAGATTCAAATAGATCTAGAGTCTTCCCCACCCCCAGCCCCCCAGCCCTGGTTCCCAGGGCCCCTGTGCCCTTCTCTCCTGGCTTTTGATTTTATTCCTCGATCACCCTTTCCGGTTTTGTGTGTGTACGTGTGCGTGCGTGCAAGTGTGCTTGCATCCATGGCAGTGGGCACCGTGCCAGCCACCACACTGCCATCTGCGATGCCTTCTGCAGCCTCGGCTACTTCTCTCTGCCACCTTCAGCTCGCAACCCCCCAGCATCTAGGCTCCCCACCTCCAGTCCCCAATCATTAATTAGCTACTGAATTAATTAAATCGTGAATGCTAATTAACATTCCTACAGGGCAGGCTGCCAGGCTGGGGGCAGAGGGGATGAGAAGACAAGTGGAGATCTGGAGGCAGAGAGGGAGCCTGTCTGCTTAGAACGCAGAGGACACAGAAGGAACCCAAAGGAGGAATGAGGAAGAACGAAGGCGGGGTAGTGACAGGCAGGGCAGGGGCTGCAGGTATCGGGGACTGGCGTGGAAACGGGCATTAAATCCAAGAGGTGAGTGAATGCCACATCGCCTTTCCACCCAAGTGAGGCATAGGTAATTTCTTGCCAATGCTTTTACCTCTGTCCCAACCTTAGGCCAGCTCAGAGCCCAGGATGGGGAACTCTGACAGTGGAGTGACTCAGTGGCTAAAGGTGCCTGCTGTGGAATATTACCACCAGAGTTCAATCTCAAGAACCACGTGGTGGAAGGAGAGAACTGACTCCAGCAAGTGTCCTCTGATCACCACCCAGGCACCATGGCACGCTCACACACACACATACAAAAATGTATCAAAATAAATAAAAGTTCTCTCTGAGAAAGAGAGAGAGAGAGAGAGAGAGAGAGAGAGAAAAGGCAGGGTGGTGGAGTCGGTGTCGACCCATGCCTTTAATCCCGGCACTCAGGAGGCATGTGTCTCTGTGAGTTTGAGGCCAGCCTCTACACAGTGAGTCCCAGGACAGCCAAGTCTACACAGAGAAACCCTGTCTCAAAAAAAAAAAAAAAAAAAAGAAAAACAAGAAACAAAAAAATAAAAAGATATAAACCACCTAGCCTAGCTTCAACTTTTTAATTTAATTTCTTCTTCTTCTCCTTCTTGTTCTTCTTCTCCTTCTTGTTCTTCTTCTTCTCCTTCTTGTTCTTCTTCTTCTTCTTGCCTCATGTAAATTGTATATATAACTCTGTTATACATTATGCCTACAGCCATTAATTTTCCTTTCTTTGCACAGAGCACTTCTGCTTTGTGGAAAGCACCATCAAATGATCAGGAGGAGTTTTGGTCTAGACGCTGGCAGACAGATCCACTGACTCAAGGTGAAGAGGACTCTTGTTTGTTTGTTTGTTTGTTTGTTTTTACTTTTTAGACGAGATCTGCCTGTATAGCCCTGGTTGTCTTGGAACTAACTATGTGGCCCACCAGCCTCTGCCTCCCTAGTGCTGGGGTTAGAGGTGTGTGACACCATACCTAGCCTGCTGAAGAGGACTCTAAGACTACGCAAAGGAACAGCACAGAGTTCTGTTGCCCAGTTGTAAAGCAGAAGTACCAAGCCAGCTCCCAGTGGAGAAGCCTGTCACTCTTTCTAATCACTTAGCTACTGTTACTACTACAAAACCCCATGACCAAAGAAACTTGGGGACAAGGGATTTATTTGTCCTACACTTCCATATCACAGTTCATCATCAAAGGAGGTCAGGAAAGTAACCTGGAGGCAGGAGCTGATGCAGGGGCCATGGAGGGGTGCTGCTTACTGGCTTGCTCCCCATGGCTTGTTCAGTCTGCTTTCTTACAGAACCCAGGACCACCAGCCCAGGGATAGCACCACCCAAAATGGGCTGGGCCCTCCTCCATTGATCACTAAATAAGAACATGCCCCACAGGCTTGTCTACAGCCCCATCTTATGGAGAATTTTCTCACTGAGGTTCCCTCCTCTCTGAGGACTCTAGCTTGTGTCAAGTTGACCTAAGACTTGCCAGCACGCGCAGACCAACCCTTTCAGAGGACAGGGACCTTAGCAACCAGCAAGTCTAACTGAGGGTCAGCAAGGTGTCCTGGGTGGGTGTTGCCTGTCAGTGATCTCAGCATGCAGGAAACAAGTCAGGGGAGGTTTTCTAAGTTACACACAGCTCCGGGAGAGCTTGAATGATCCTCCTTTTCCTGGTCTGCCCTTGCCTTCACCTGGTTTTGGACCCTGCAGCTCCTTGGGGGCTTCAGGAAATTACTCTGCACCCTGTGGGCACAGTGACCCATAGCAGGACCCCCAACTGATCTGGACAATCTGCTTCAGAACTTTGTTCTAGCTGTCTTCGCCCTCTTTTTGGAAAAGCCTCATACTACATGGCAGAGCTAAGCTATGAACCCAAAGCTTTGACTTCTAGCAAACCTAAATCCCACCCAGTCTTAGAGACCCCAAGCACCTCCTGGGGTATTCCTAACAAGTCCCCCTTTCTGTTTTCACTTTGCTGAATCCCCAAGGCCGCTTAACTCTGCACCAATGACCTCAAGATAATCTCCCCCTCCCCCGCCACTGTGTGTTTGCCTACAGCATTCGTGTACCATGGTAAGCCTGGTTTCCAAAGAGACCAGAAGATGGCACTGGACTCTCTGACACTGGGGTTAGAGACAATTTTCAGCTGCCATGTAGGTGTTGGGAACCAAACCTGGGTCCTCTGCAAAAAGCAGTAAACCCATAGAGCCATCACTCCAGCCTGAAGCTGCAGCTGGGATGTGTGACCCCTGTCATGAGGAGACCCTAAGACAGGCCCCTATCAGCTTCTGAACATCACTCTCATGAGGACCACCTCCCACTGCGCATCTTTTCTTGACCCATGCATGGGCAAATGGGAACAAAGGGAAGGAAAAAACCCTTAGAAATACAGGTGTTTGTTCTACACACACACACACACACACACACACACACACACACACACACCTTTCATCCTCTCCCTCTACATTTCTATGCTAGGGATCAAATGAAAAGCCCAAGCATGCTAGCAATACTCATATACCCTGCTTGCTGCAACCCTTCTTTGAGGAGCCCACACCTACACACCTAAGGTGTATTTTACTTTGTTTTCTTCTTATCTTTTTTAAAATTGTATTTATTTATTTTTATTTTATTTGCATTGGTGTTTTGCCTGCAAGTATGTCCACATGAGGGTGTCAGATCCCCTGGAACTGGTGTTATACACAGTTGTCAGCTGCCATGTGGGTGTTGAGAATTGAACCTGGGTCTTCTGGAAGAGCAGCCAGCGCTCTTAACCACTGAGCCATCTCTTCAGCCCACTTCTTTCTTCCTCTTAATTTTAAGTCTTCCTCTTAATTTTCATACTTTAAAATATTAAAATCCTCTCCACCCAGAATGAATGGGAGGGTCGGGGGATGCTCAGCAGGTATGGGCACTGGCTGTGTAAGATCTGTTTCTAATCTCTAGCACCCATATAAAAAGCATGGCATGGCCACACATATCCATCAGCCCACTGCTATGGGTGGGCAGAGTCAGGAGGATTCCTGGTAGCTGGAATGCTAGCTAGCTGGCTGCTGGCTGCTAGCTAGCGCAGTGAGCAACACACACACACACACACACACACACACACACACACACACACACACACACACACAC